TAAGGTTAAACGTCAATTAGTTGACAGTTAGTTTTGTTGTCTGTTGAAACCTGAAACGTTTTTTTGCAATTGTGAATGCACGAAATTTAGTTTCTTTTACCTGTTTTTTTTGTAAGTTTTATAAAAATGCCATTTTTATTCTCCAATGAAGAATTAGCGGATAATCATTTTGTGTATGGCTTTGTAAATGGAAACGCAGCAGAAACAGCCAGAGAATACGCACGAAGATTTCCAAACACACGACATCCAACTCGCTCAGTATTTGTAAGAGTGCATCGCCAAATAATTGAAAATGGTTTTGGAAATCTCCAAAGGGATCAAAACATAAATGTTCGTCAGCGCAGATTTACCCGTATGATTCTGCGTGAGTTTGATAGAGATCCGACCATAAGAGTTTCTGGTGCCTTGGGAATTTCAGCAAGCCATGTTCACCGTGTTCTTAGAAATGACCATAGACGTCCTTACCATTTGCAACCTGTGCAAGGACTACAGCCAGGGGACGGAGAACGAAGAATCACATTTTGTCAGTGGATTCTTGATAGAACTGATAATAATAGGGAGTTTTTGAGCAACGATTTATGGACCGATGAGTCATGCGTCACTAGACGTGGAGTGGTAAATTTTCATAATCAACATAATTATTTGGTCGCATGAAAATCCGCATGCAGTTCAGGAAAGAAATTTTCAACATGCATTTAGTGTGAACTTGTGGATTGGTATCTACCGTAATCGACTATTTGGACCTTACCTTTTGCCTGCAAGGTTAAATGCTGCGACCTTCTTGGAATTTTTAACGGCTGAACGTGCAAATATGTGGGATGATGTTATGTTAGATTTAAGAAGATTGGACTGGTTCCAGCTTGATGGTTGTCCAGCTCATTATTCGAGAATAGTTAGAAACTGGCTGGACGAAAATTATCCAGGAAGATGGATCGGCCGTGGAGGACCAGTCGCCTGGCCTCCACGATCCCCTGACCTAAATCCATTAGATTTAAAAAAAAAGTTAAAAACAATATTGGAAAATTGAACAAATTAATATTCTCTGTTTTTTGTATCTATTTGGAGTTAGGAATCATTGCTGTGTTTAAAAACACAATCTAAACGATTATCTTAATTACTTGTAATCCCAAATCGAAAATGTAAAAAAATATTATTTTCCCATAAATAATTAAAAATGCATCGAAATATCTCAAAAACGGCTAACTATAACGAAAACTCACAGGAGAGCTTTTTTATGTTGAAAAGTGCAAAGAATGGGTTTTTTTATTCAAAAAGCAAAAAATTGCACTAAGAAAAAAATTTCGTTCATTTTAATACACTGCAGAGAGTCATTTTTCTCCATAATCGTCATTTTTTTCTACGCATTTTTTTACACGTGAAATCTACTTGGGCACTTAAATAAGTTCGCCGCCATCCTATTTAGGAACTTGGTAAACGCTCCTTGCAACTCCTTGTCCGTCTCGAACCGTTGACCGCCTGGGTGGTCTTCCAATTTCTTAAATGCTATGCCAGGGCCGTACGGAGGATGGGCAATGACTTCCCAGTCAAGTCGCCCGATTAACTCCTTCCAAGGTTGTCTGATTTCTCACAAGATTCGGTTCCATCGAAGCTGTTCAAATTCGACATTAATTACACGACGCACGTTGTGAAATCGTTATACTCATACTACTCATAGTAATCAAAGTAACGAATACAGTAAATGACTACTTCGTTGAAGAGTAACGATCAGTAACCAATACTCGAAAGTAACGGGAATCAACACCACTACTGAGCATCGCAAACAGGCGCTTATTATTGGGAGCGGCGGTGGGGGAGCCGACAAACACGACGCAGTTGCCAGATTTCGCCTAATGTCACTCACGGCAAAGATACAGCGTTGAGAACCCCATTTTTGAGACATCCCCGTACTATGGATTATTCTACATGGAGTCCTGAAAGCTAAAAATAGAGATGTCAGACTTACCTTGCAAGGAGAGAACTGAAATGAGCGGATAAAAGACCAATCTCACAAATCAGCTAATGAACACAAGACTTTCGTGTCGATTTGAATGAGAAATAAAAAGCTATAATGGATCTTACTTAATTAGATAGATAGAATGTATCTATTTATTTTTCGTAGGACAGTTAACTTGACCGTAGCGTGACCAAAAAAGATAAATATCAAGGTCACCAATCCATTGTACCTTTAAGGATAAGACGCATGTGGCGTTAAAGAAACTATCTACGATCTAATTTTCTAAAAATACATTAGGCAAGGTAGTGTATAAATAAAACATCACACGTGTATCCTTACCCATGTACTGAATTTTATCAGTTCGATTGTAGATGTAGTGTAACGCAATTTTACGCTGTGCTGAACTTAATCGAGAAACTTTCTAAATTTGAGTTACTGGTTCTTTCAGCCATGAAGTTTGCTGTACATGCAAACAAAATTGTGGATAGTTAGACTTAGTTCAGATGGCGCGCGTCGAGGTGGAGCGGATTTGTCGGGTGGGCGTCCAAATGACACTGGTACAAATTTTATAAAGTTATACAGGGTGTTCCTCAATGATATGCGAATATTTAAGGGTATGAATCTGCATGAAAAATTAATGTTAGTTTGCTTCTTAACTATGGTCCAAAAATGTTTCCTTAAAAAACTCGGGGTGTTGAAGGTTTAGGTAAAGAATGGAAATTAATTAATATTTACAGAGCGGCTTCAGATATAATAAAGTTGCATATTATTCAATGCAAAAATATTTTTTAGCTTTAACAGTAGCGTACGTACGGGTATTGACTTCGACATTTTTTAAGAAAAAAATGTTACGCCAACGGCTTTTTGCCAATTAAAAGTTATTTTTGAATTCCCCGTTCAATTTAAAGCAAATGATCTGTTATGAATTGTTTTCTCTCGATGCGCCATTTTTTAGTAAAACAATAAATACCCTTCTATTATCCGAGAAAATCAAAGTAATAATTGAAGAATGCAATTTAGCAATAAATATCTGGTTGCTCTGGAATATTTCACTGGCTTTTGACATCCGACAGGTCTCTGTTAGTCAAATCTGTTCACTGTGTCATCTTTTTCATTATTTAGTTTTTACAATCTTGTTAATAATGGAGAATTATTCAAATGCAGAAATGGTATATGGCCTTGCCGACGGTAATGGTGAGCAAGCCAGACGGATTTATCACCAGAGATATCCCGATCGTGCTTTGCCAGATAATCGAACCTTTTCTAATATCCATCGTCGTCTTGTTGAAACTGGTTCTGTCCGAAAAGAAACATTTGAAGGTAGACCTCTAAGTGTGAAAACACCTGGAATTGAGGAAGCAGTGCTTCACGAAGTCGAAGAACATCGTGAAACGAGTACGAGGAAGATCACTACACAATTAAATATTTGTCATCAAATTGTTTGGAGAATTTTAGTGGATTTTTATATCTTTACCATATTTTAAGAGTACAGGCATTACTTTCCATTGAATTTCCAAAGCGTGTGATCACTTGTCAGTGGTATCTTCAAAAAATTACACAAAATCCGCAATTTGAATTAATGATTCTGTTCACTGGCGAAGCTAATTTTTCTCGAAATGCCATTCAGAATTTCCACAATAATCATTTGTGGGCAGAAAAAAATATCTAGGCCGTAACCGAAACCGATTTCCAACACCAATTTTCGGTTAACGTATGGGCAGGAATTATTGGCAACCACTTTATTGGCCCATACTTATTGCCGGGACGACTTGACTGACAGACTTACCTCAATTTTCTTCAACAACAGTTGCCGTTGCTGCTTGATGATGTTCCGTTAGTAATAAGAAACAATATGTGGTACATGCATGATGGTGCACTAGCGTATTTCGGTGTAGCGGTTCGTAATTATTTACAAACAGTTTATCCAAATCGTTGGATTGGCCGCGGTGGGCCCCAAGAATGCCCACCAAGGGCCCCAGACCTTAACAGTTTAGATTTCTTTTTGTGGGGCTATCTTAAGACACTAGTATGCACAAGTCCCATTAACACTGTAGAGGACTTAAGAGAAAGAATAGTTGCAGCTTGTGATAGAATAAAGAACACTCCAGGGATATTTCAACGAGTGCGCAATTCCATGAGAAGGAGGGCGAAGCATGCATACTAAGTGAAGGGGGCCATTTTCAACAATTTTTGTAATGATTCCGTTGGTTTTAATGCCATGTTTATGTTGTCAGTTGTTGTTGTTCATTATCCCTAATGTGTTTAATTTTTCCAACTGAATTATTAATAATTTTGCAAGTTTAGACAATAGAACGTTTTTTATTCTTTTACTCAAAAATGGCGCATCAAAGGAAAACAATTCAAGAGAGATCATTTGTTTTAAATTGAACCGGAAATTCAAAAATAGTTTTTATTTGGCAAAAAACCATTGGCGTAACATTGTTTTATTAAAAAACGTCGAAGTCAATACCAGTACGCACGCCACTGTGAAAGCTAAACATTATTTTTGCATTTAAAAATATGTAACTTTAATAACTTCCACTACGTACTAAATATCAGTGAAATATCTGAAGCGGTTCTGAAAATATTAATTAATTTCCATTTTTTCCCGAGTTTTTGCAAGGAAACATTTTTGGACCATAGTTTATAAAGCAAACTAACATTCATTTTTCATGTAGATTCACATCCTTAAATATTCGCATATCATTAAGGAACACCCTGTAGATACTGTAACAATGTAGGACAAAGGACAAGTAGATTCCTTTCGAGAGCAAGTTGGTAGCTTTTATAAAGTCAGCGCTAATACCACAAATTGCGTTGCAATTGCTTAGCATTCCAGCCCCGATTAAGCGAGCCTCTCAAGATTATTGTGGCAATTCTTTATTCATGTCACAATACATAAAATATGTTTACATACGTCAGTAGATCAAATGAGAATTGCATTAGAATTAAAACAAAGGGAGTGCTAATGATCATAAAAAATTACAAACAAGTACACCAGCACTCATAAAAATATAACGCTAACATAACATATTAAGATTTATAGTTAAAATTTATGTCTTAAAAACTCTTCAAACGTGTAAAATGAGTTATTAATAAGAATTTTCTTGATTTGAACTTTAAAATCTTTAAACGGAAGCGATTTTAAGCCGTCTGGAAGTACATTAAAAAATTTGACCGCCCAATAACCAGGTCCATCTTGACACCTCCTCAGTCGCCAATAAGGAGGTACTAGATTGTTCTTATGCCTAGTATTGTGCTCATGGACGTCCCCATGAGTTACATAGTTGGAGTTTCTTTTAACGAATAGTAGATTTTCAAAAATATATAAACAAGGCACAGTAAGGATTTCCAACTTAACAAAGGTATCTCTGCAATCGTCCCTGTAGCCCAGACGGCTCACAACCCTAACTGCTCTTCTTTGCAAGGCGAACAGTCTATGGACCCCTGAAGAATGCCCCCAAGCCAGAATGGCGTAGGATATATGTGAATGGCAAATGGCAAAGTAAGCCATTCTCAATATTTCTACAGAAACACAAGAAGACAAACTCCGTAGCACATATATACCTTTGGTGGCCTTTCCAGCAACTCTGTCAATGTGAAGGCCCCATTGCAATCTTGGATCCAAAGTAACCCCCAGAAACTTGGCTTCACCAACCAAATCACTGTCTCCAGGCAGGCTTCGCATGGAGAACACCATTCTCTTTGTCTTATCTGTATTTAGCAACAGCTTATTGGAGCAAAACCACAGCTCAGCCTCATCCTGCGCAGCCAGAGACTGTGCCATTGAGCGCTCAAAACTATTAGCGGTGTGAGAGACGGTCGTATCATCCGCGAAGAGAGTAAAGTTTGCCATATTGTTATTGAGAGGTAAATAAATCATTTATGTAAATTAAAAAAAGAATTGGGCCCAAGATGGAGCCCTGTGGGACGCCAATATTAACACTTCGCTCCGCTGATGTCACTCCATCACATCTCACCACCTGAGTTCTATTACTAAGGTAAGACTCAATTAGTTTAATGGAATCATAACTAAAGTTGTAAGCAAGGAGCTTTTTTAAAAGGATGTCATGGCTCACACAATCAAATGCCTTACTAAGATCGCAGAAAAGAACCGTGTTATACCCTCCTCCATGGAAAGCATCAATTATAGAAGAAATCAGGTTAAGTACACCCATAACAGTGCTCTTACCCTGGCGAAAACCAAACTGATATTGTGAAAACAATTCATTTGCCTCAAAAAAGGTTACCAGTCTCAAAGCCATACATTTTTCAAAGATCTTAGAGATAACTGGAAGAAGGGATATAGGTCTGTAGTTCTCTGGTGAATCAACATTACCGTTCTTAAAAATAGGTGTGACACTAGCTCTCTTTAGAACAGTTGGAAAAATATTTTCTCTAAGACAAATATTAATCAGTCGTGTTAGAGGGATCAAAATTATATTCTTTATACATTTTACAATTTTTAAATTGAAACCAAAAATATCTTTACTGTTTTTATTTTTGAGATTATCTATTACATCGCGAACCTCGTTAAATGTGACTTCAGAAAAAGAAAACAGAGGTGGCGGTACCAGGAAATCAATATTATTAACAGGATCTAAATGTACATCAGGGATGTGATTTACTATATTACCTGATATGTTACCAAAAAAATTATTAAAGTCATCAGGTGACAGGTCACTGCTCCCAGGGCACTTATTACTCTTACCTCTTTTTTTGTTAATGATATCCCACACGGTTTTAGCAGGATTACTTGAGCTCTTTACAAGGTTGTCATTAGCATTTATCTTAGCTTTTCTTATTTTATTTCTATATAGATTTTTGTAGTTTTTATAATACTGGTCACTCACAAAACCATACTGCCCTTTCAGCTCTCTCAAAAACCTCAAATGTTCCCTCATTGCCCTTAGTTCGGTATTAAACCAGGAAATATTATTGCCCTGGTCGGATCTTACCACATAAGTTTTCTTTGGAAAAGAGTATGTATAGGCTTCTTGAAGAATATCCATGAAGTGGTTAAACTTTTGTTCACCGCTGGTACTATCAACAGTAATGAAATCCCAAGATATCTCCGACAATCTACTGTGTAACATAAACAAACCTCTTTGTGTTACTGGTCTATACATTTTTTTATTTTGAGTAAAACCTGTGGTTTCACAACCAAGAAATTTAACCAGCTGACCTTTATGATCTGATATTCCAATATCACATACCTGAGAGCCACACAGCTCCATCGCACTACTAAGGAAAACATTGTCAAGACAGGAGTCCCCACGAGTTGGTTCAAAGATTGTTCTTTCTAAGCCAAAGCTAGCTAGAAGGTCACACAATTTACTTGTATTAATATCTAATGTGTTGAAACTTACATTGAAAATTAAACAACTAGCCCAGTCGATTTAGGGTTTACAAGCTGTGAATTTATATTAATGTTGAGAATATAAAACTGGAAGTGAACAGATCTCTAACCGGATATCGTTGAGCTATAGTCTATGATTAGACTGTGATGATATATTCCATGTCAAACTGTCAACATAAGAGAATAATAGCACATTTCATACCTAATTCGAGAATATGATATATAATAAACATATACAGGGTGGCGCATAGAAAACGAAACAGACGCATTTACTGGCAGCTCAGTTTTTTTCTTGAAAAACGGTCAGACCCGTCGATTTTGTTTTCGAGAAGATGAACCCATGTGCATGCAGTCTATCTCTTTAATACGCGAAACGTCATTCGGTGACAAAATTCCCCAGAAGCGGATGGCAAATGTTTAGTTTTATAAGGGTATAATTTATTGTTAGATTCGTTAGTTTATCTGCAGTGTTTCAAATAAGCATCTGTGTCAAATATAATAAAAAAAAATGGCGTCAAGTAGATTGACTCTATACTTCCTACTTTGGAGGTTTCAATGAAATGGGAAGAGTCGAATCGTGAACATTCGACCTCTGCATATCAAACTATATAAAACAAATCTATATTTCTATTTCCATGGCAGATATAGCGAAAATATGTGTGACTTATTATATCTAGTAGCACAGCATCACTGAGATCAGCAGCTTCTCAGTAATAAAAGGTGTTTCACTGACACCAGATATGCAACAATTTATGACCATTTACCGCAATCAGCTTCCAGCCTACAATTTTAATCCGGTCCAAACAATGTCCGAAAATGAGAAAGAATATCTGACATGTTGTAACTGTAGTATGGTACGAACACACTGTATAAATATGATTGTAAACTTTTAGAAAATTTCAGCTATTTTTTGCAGATAATAAGGGTCGCCAGAAATACTGCAGTCAGCAGAGCAATCGCCTCGCAATACCTGGCAACAAGGATTATAGATAGAATAAAGTTAACTATAATTGAATTAGGGCCGATTTCACCAACATTATTATTATGGACCAATGGGAAAATACCTTATCGAAATGAAATTTGACGAAACCTGTCAAAGGTCTCTGAATATTAGTGATTTCTATTGAAATATTGAATAAAATCGTGAAAATTCGACTGTATTATAAACAAGACCACTTTTTGATTCCAACATGATGCTTTTGTACAGAAAAAACAGGACAACTTTTATGTATTTTGATATATGTTATAGGTTTACATTTAACAATCCGTTATCCCCCTCAGCGAATGGGAATGCGGCAAATAATAGGTCGATTTTCTAGCTGTTAAATTTGGCACCAGATTTGAACGTTTGTTAATGCATGGCACTCTTGAATTTACCAACTTCAATATATTGAAAGTTATCATTACATACCTGTTGAATAGTGTGGATTTGTCTGTATTTTGCAAGAAAATAGAATATAAAATACATTCCATCCAATTCTTCATATTCCTTTACATCTTAATAGTAATCCTTTATTAATTTATGGGATAATGAATTTCTTCAAAGCAATAAAAACATTATGTCCTCTCTATCCTAAAACACAGATAATATGTGTAAGACGTGTCAATCCCTACATCTCCCTGATGCATAATGTAATTAATATGGACATAGACAAAAAAATATGAAAAATGTTTCACAGATAATGGCTGTTAAGTTCAAAAATAAAAAAAACTAGTATAGTTTGGCAAACGGATCTGCAACAGCGAAAGGAATGCGACCGAAAATATTCGATATTGCCAAATTTAACTACAAAAAAGCAATAATAATAATAAAAGTAATTTCAATGATTTGAAAATCGATTTTTCACAATTCCAAAAAATATTAATTCAAAATACTGAGAATTTTAATGGGTTGTTGGCTCTATTTGTATTTACTAACTATTTTTAACTACTGAATCGTATTATAAGTAAACATTTTTCCAAAGATCTTATCTACATCGGTTGAGCTGGCAACAACCACCCGAAAGGTATATTGGACACCGCCTAAACGAATCTGATTGGCGGATATCCTCACATGTTTTGTCGCCATGAGAAAATTCGACTCCCTATTGGGTAGCGTCCCAGACAATTTTTTGCTCCTTTCTTAGAATATCCATACTATTGAAAAGTCCAGTGGCGTAGGTTTTATCTCCGTTGATTGTCGTGTATCAGTTTTACAACTATTATTGTTAACTATTTATTGTTCTATTAAGTTTGTATGTTTAGTGCTGTGTGTTTTTGAATAGTTTAGTGTTTTGTTATTTGATATTGTTATTCGTTTTAGTATTATTTTTTTAAAATGAACCAATTTACTCGCGGAAAGACGCTTCATAGCCAAACAAGAGAAGTGATTGCGAATGTTTATAGGTTAGTAATAATAATATGCAATAATTGTAGTTTTTGACGACTGAGTCTGAATATAAATAAAAAACAAGGAAATGCTAAGCTAACATTCTGATGATTATTTATAGGGTTTGCGATGAGGAAGCGGCAAACAATTTCCTCAAGTTGCCGCTTAAACGTAAGCTTGATAGGGTGTTCCTTTATACCGGAGTCGGAGTATCTTCTGTTAGGAAAATTCATAACGAAGATAAAGAAAGACTAGAAAATAACCCGAATAAAATGTTATCCAGTCCCGGAAAAAAAAGACCGCGTCAGTCTCTTGTTGAGAAAGATGAAGATTTTGATTTTCAGATTATTAGACATTTGTTAAACAGATTTTATCTTGAATATAAAGTTGTCCCGACAACTAGGAAGTTATTACAAAAGTTGCGAGAAGACTCAAATTTCCCCTATTCTAGGGAAACTCTCAGGAGTTTATTAAAATCAAATGGTTTTTTTTGGCGCAAATGTCAAAATAAAAGAAAAGTTTTGATGGAGAGGCCCAATATATTGCAATGGAGGTACAAATACATCCGTGAAATACGTAGATATCGTGAAGAAGGGCGCAATATAGTTTATTTGGACGAAACCTGGGTGGACAATGACTTGACTTTCAAAAAATGCTGGCAGAGCGAAACTGTTTCTGGTGTAATAAGCAGTATAGGTTCTACAGGTAAGCAAAAATGCTATATATATATGTTAAATTTAACTCTGATTTGTAACATATTATATAATCGTCTTGTATATTTTAGGTCGACTCATTATAGTGCATGCAGGTTCAGAAAATGGATTTGTTGACAATGCCTGTTTGATATTTAAGGCGGGATTAGCTACAGGCGATTACCACGGTCAGATGAATCGGGAAAATTTCAGACGCTGGCTCACAGAAAAACTCCTCCCGAATATACCTGCCAATTCGGTTATAGTATTTGACAATGCTCCATATCATTCCGTCCAGGAAGATAAAACCCCGACAAAATCATCTTTGAAAAAAGATATAATGGCCTGGTTGACAAAGAAAGGTACTT